TAAGTTCTCCCCAAGCGAGCTCGATGGGCCGAATGGCCTCCTCTCGTTTGTATAGTTCTTATGTTCTTAGGAGTCACGGTTCGGCCTGTTCCACTCAGACAGGAACTCGGAGGACACGAGATGGTGGTATGGGCTGACATTCAATTTATTTTACATTTTTCACAACAGTCGACCCAAGGTGCTTTACATGGGTGTGCTGTGATACATTACATCATTAACAAAGAATAATACAAAAACAGGGAAAAAGGGAAAACCGAAAGAAAAGCCAGATGACAACAGAAGAGAAGAATTAAAAATTCCCATGTAGGGAGAAAAAAACAAAAACCTCTGGGCATCCGAGGTCAGCTGGCTGCCCACCCTCCCAGACATGCTGACATTATTGTAAAAGTGGGCTTTGTTGCTAAAAGCCAGGTGTAAACTGTGGTCAAGGGCAAAGCCACACCAGCCTATCATGGACTGCAGTCACATCCACGAAGTCACTCTTCCATGGGACTAAACCAGGGCCACTGCAGGCAGCATTTGGACATGTGGGAAGGAAGGCAGAGAGCATATAGGCTGACACCATTCCACCTCACCAGAAGCAGGCTCAACAGTCAAGGCGTTATTGGGACGAGCAGACAGCCAACACCACAAGCCGACGCTACATCAGCACAACGTCAGGCCACAGGCAGCAGCGGTCCAGAGGGAGGCTGGTGTACAGATGTTGTGCCGCTTACTTTCGCTCCTGATGCCAACCTCGCAGAGCACCAGACAGCCCGGATGTAAACACCTGGACAGAAACCATCTGACTGCCATGGCCAGCAACATCATCACAACAGGTGAAGTATAGTTCTGTGGCTGATGATTGTACATGTGATCAGAAGGTTGCTGGTTCAAATCCCAGGGCAGGTTGAATAATATCACTACTTGAGCAGTAGTGGCCCTTGAGCAGGGCCCTTAACCCCAAGTTCCTCCAGGAATGCTGGCACACCCTGCTTTCTCAACAGCATCTGGTAATAAATACAAATCATCAAGCTCTCCTCTAGCAATGGCAGAATCTGCCTTAAGCTGCAGATTAACAGGCCTGGTGTGAACCATCTGACATAGAAAGAGTATTTAAGCAATAGTACAATGTTTATTTTCAAATATTTAATTATCTGCATCAAAAAGGTTTAATATTACTTTAGAAAAAAATACTCCATGTACAAGGTTAGAAATTGATACAATGTATATTTTATTATCTCAAACAAAAGCAACAATCCTATACATCAAGTGTGCAAATTAAGCTAAAGAATTTTTTTTTTTTTGAAAAGGTACACTTAGCATTAGCATTAGCATTCACGAAACATGAGCAGATAATATGGTGATGGATATTATTATGCATAACCCGACTCAATGGTCTGTGACTGCAGCTTCTTCTTTGTCTCTTTCATAGACATAGCAGCCAACATCTCCAATGTTCACCCCTTTTGGCCCAAACAAGTATCCGTAGCATGGTACATGGCAGAAAGGCTTTCCATCATGCTAAACAAAGAAAGAAAAAAAACACACATTACACACATTTGGTAAAACTAATACAAGGCTTCTTTCATGCCAAATTCATGCATCTTCCCCCAGAGGGAGCTTGTTTCGATGCATACGGTTCATAAAGGATAAGTGTTATAAATCAAAAGTGGAGCAAATATTAGTATAAACATTTTATAAACCAGCAAGCCAGAAAAATTCCAACACCTCAGCATGTCCACCAGGGGTCAGCGTCTTCTTACACCTTTCACAGCGGAGACATGGCCGGTGCCAGTTTCGGCCCAGAGACGACACTTTCTCCGCTATGGATCAGAACACAAGAGAGCAAATCATAGCTCCGGAAAGCAAGTTTATCTGAGAAGTGTGCAGTTAATGTGAGAGTAACTTCAGGTGAAGACCTTTTCATATTCTGTAGAAAGAGCTTCTTAATACATTTTAACTTGACCTAAAATGAGGAATTTTCCCAAAGCCTTGATTCCTGAAAGCACTTAGTGCAGGGGTGGCCAATCTTATCCAGAAAGGGCCACAGTGTATGCGGGTTTTTGCTGCAACTCCCTAATTAGATTATTGATTAGAGAACTGATTGGCTGAAGAGTCCTCACACCTGGGTTTGATCAGCTGACCTAAAGGTTATCCCAAAAACCTGCATACACACCGGCCCTCTGCGGATAAGATTGGCCACCCCTGACTTTGTGTCAAGTTTTTCTAAAGTTACTTACTTTCGTGAACTATTTGGCGATGGTAAAAGCTGCTTTTTTCCAAGCAAAATACATTTTCAAACATTTACAAAATTAAGTACCGGGTCTGTAATATTTTCCTTGAAGTCGAGACTCCATGACAGATTTGTGCTCTTAGGAATTTGAGTAGGCATTTTGTCTGAATGTAACCTAAAATCAGTTTAAAGGGGTAAACATAAATGCCAGATGAGGGGATTTTGTGCCCTGGGATACCAACTCCTGTTCCAAAACACAATGGTTCAGTAAAGCTAAGCATTATGCGGGGGAAAAAAAAAGCTATCCCAGGCTTCTGGTTTGAAACTCAACCAAGCTGAAAACATTCAGAAGCTGCTTGTAAGTGTCTGAAACAAAGGATAAATTAAAGAGTAGCCATTTCAACAACGTGTAATTACTGCACTGACCTCAGTCTTACTATAGAGCAGTGTTTCTCAATCCAGTCCTAGGGGACCCCCAGTCGGTCCATGTTTTTACTCCCTTCCAGCTCCGGGTAGGACCAAAAACGTGGACTCAGGATCCCCCAAGTACCGATTTGAGAAACACTGCTCTAATAGACTGATAACTTAAATGGCCTTTATTTTTCTGCTAGACGTGACATACCAAAGTACACAACCTTTCCACAACCAGGACAGCATGACCTCTCCTCTGCCAAAGACTTCATGCAGGTAGGGGAAACTGGGGGGGGAGGAAAAAATAGAAAAGACCATATTTAAAATGTATAACCAGAAGGTTTAATTAAATCATCTTACGGCAGGTGCAAGATTAGCTAACGTAAAACAAAATGGCTAATTACGATTTAAGTTTTGTAAAGCTGACAGTTACTTAGAATTCCATATTTCCATGGTCCCTATATACTTTCAATTTTAAAATCCCATACTTTTTCAGACTGGGGGTGGTGGGGGTTGGATGGCAACAGTTGTTGGGGCAAGGAGGATGGTGGTTGCCCCCTCGCCCCAAATGTCGCTATCTTGGTTAATTGACTATCTTGCCTTTGCCAGAACCCCCCCATCAGCCACGTCTAGACTGCAATGTTTCTGCTTCCTAGCCCATGTTGAAATGTCAAAACTGTACAGAAACTTTGCAGTTTGCTTTCTGTTCACATTTAGGACACTTAGCCCACCAGTTACAATACCTGGGATTAGCAAACCTAGCATCTCCCCATTGTGAGCATTGTCAATTGGGACGTTGATCTTCAGTGTTTTCTCTGTGCACATTCTGGCACTGGTACCCAGCTCACATTGATGATTTCATCAAAAATATAATTAAATTCAAATTTTTTGTAAGAAAACATAGTAGAGCAATTTGCCTCTAAACACCAAAATACTTCCATTTTTTCCTTTTCTGTACTTATCCATATTTGGAAAATGCTAAAATCAAAAATTCCACACTGCATAGGAACTCTGTGTTAACACTGCGGTATTATTTGCTAGAATCACATGTGCTAGTGTCTCGGCAATGAGAGGCAGCTTATTAAAATTCCTCACCCCCAACAGCAGCTGTGAGAAAGGCTCACGGCAGACTCCCCAGGGGCTAGAAGGGACGCTGCACTCATGCCAACAATCGCACAGGAATCCCAGGCACCCAGATAAGATGCACTTCACTGAGCCCCTCAATTAGCTTCCAGGAAACGGTGCTGGCCAAATGACGACACACCCTGTGCACCCACTTATCGTCCATCTTAAATTAGCGGTGCACTGGTGTAGAAATTTTGGTCAGTATTAAGACTCAGGACATTTTCGTCTAATATTACTAAGATCAATAACCAGCTAACCTCCACAAATCCACAAATCTTTAGGGAAACTGATGATGTCGGTGATGTCCCAACCCAAGATGCTTTGAATCTGTGTAACAAACACATCATATAATGCAGGCAGTGAGACATCTGCAAAGCAGCATTGATTTGGGAGACTGAAACCAGGTTCTAAATGGTGAATGAACCAATGAAATCCCTTGTCCTCCATTACGGAAAATGGCCAATGCAATCAAACAAAGCAATCATCTCCATTATTCTAGTCAGTGATGTGCCAAGGCGATATCAAAGATCAGAACTCGGACAGATACAGGCATTTTTTACTTGATTGGCATCTACTACCACAGCCCAATCCAGCCCACTTAATATCACATGTCCATCTATTTCACGTCAACTGTGCAGATTGTAAGGTTGCACCAGACGGTGTAGTACTGGGATGGCCAATCTTATCCGCAAAGGGTCAGAGTGAATGCAGGTTTTTGGGTTAACCGTTTGGGTCAGCTGTTCAAACCCAGGTATGAGGACTCTTCAGCCAATCAGTCCACTAATTAGTAATCCAATTATTATGGCAAAACCCATATACACAGTGGCGCTTTCTGGATAAGACTGGCCACCCTTGCTATAGTACGGCTGTCGTAATAGCTTCAAACTACAAACTATCAAGATGACCGCCGTGTGGAAATAATTTAAATTGGAAACTCAAGGTAGCTCAACAACCACCTGCAATGTTTGCGATGTCATCCTTTCAAAAGGAGGAAACAACAGAGCGTCATGTAGAACAACAAATCTAATTAGGCACATGCAGAAATATCATAAGGAGGACTGCACTCACATCAGTTGTATGTGTATGTAGAGCTGGGCAGTATGACCAAAAATTTATATTACGGTATTTTTGAAAGTTATATCGGTTTCACTGTATACAACGGCATTTTTTTTTTTTTTACTATGAATGGGCATTTACCACATTTTACAGGACACATTTTTGCTTTGTTCCCACATTAACTATATTATTTTATTATTAGCCATTGCACCTATCCACTGCCTTAATGATGACATACGGCTAACGTACAGGGTGTTCCACCTTAACTTGTGCACTCTTAAACCACACACCTGCAAACAATCTAATTTGGTATAGTCGTCTATTTCACCTGAAACACATAAACAATTACCAGACTAATACTCTTAAGTAGGTTGCCTAGCCTTAACTGTCTCATTCTTAAAGATGGAAGCCAAAAGACAGGCCATCATTGATCTTGCTCGTGCCGGGAGATCTCCTAAGCAGATTGCAAGTGCCTTAAACTTACACAGAAACACTGTACAGAGAGTCAGGAGATGTGAAGAAAAGGTCTACTGGCTCACGTAGAAGTGTTCGAAGCAAAGACGTCATTAGGAAGGTGAAAAACCGAATAAACACCAACCCATGGCGCTCAATATGCAAGATGACAAAGGATGTGGGTGTGAGCACTACGTCAATGCATCGCATAGTGAAAGAAGACCTTGGTGCCACTTCTAGGGCCATCACCAGCACCCACCTAATAACTGAAGATTCCAGAAAGAAAAGGGTAGACAGGGCGAAACTTCTCTTGCATGATGTTAAACACTCATCTGGCAGAGTCATCCTCTTCAGTGATGAAAAATTGTTTTGTGTTGATCGGGGTCTCAACCATAGAAACAACCGTTATATTTCATCAGATGCAGTAAAGGATGTCCCTGATTGTGTGAAACATGTTTCCAAGACAAAAAACCCTGCCAAAGTCATGGTACTAAGGGTTGTTGCATCCAATAGCAAAAAGTGTCCGCCTGTGTTCATTCCACAAAATGAAAGGGTGAATGCTCATGCCTATATCAAGATGTTGACAAAGCATGTGCTACCTTGGATTCAAAGGACCTTTCCCGATGGAAGACCCAAGAATTTTTGCAGCAGAACATGACCAACTTCTGGGGTAAGGACATGTGGCCTCCCAACTCAATCCCCTGGACTATAGTATCTGGGCATACATGGAGCAGGAGGCCTGCAAGAAACCACATTCATCAGTGCAAGCTCTGAGGGCATCCATCACCAGAACTTGGAGCAAAATGGATGAGGCATATGTAAGAAAGACGTGCCAGAGTTTTCGTCATAGGCTGGAAAGTGTAATTGAAAAAACGGGTGGAATTATTGAATAACATGTGTTACATAACTATAAACAATAACCTGTAACATTAAAAGTGTGATTTCAATGTTTCTGTTGTTTTATTTACTCTTACTTTCTAAATAAAGTGGTTGCACAAGTTAAGGTGGAACACCCTGTATCTGTTGGCTAACTGCTTATAGATAAACGGCTAATGTTATGGTGTGCGCCGGCCAAGTTAACTATTAAACACTTATCAAAAGTGTTCAGTGTTGCTGAGCTTTACTGACCTCGCGAAATCTCTCAAAAAGACCGGGATGTCAGTCTTTAAGGTGCTTCGCCAAGTTTGATATGGTACTTGACTTTGCCGCCACAACTTTGTAGCACTGTTTACATAGAGGCTTATAGACATCCTTAGCCTTTCCATGCTCGTCTGCAAAATACTTCCAAACAGCACTTTTACATTTTTTTTTTTTTTTTTACTAAAACAGCTTGTGAAGTGCCTTCAACTGCAGCATATGCCATGTTCGGCCAACTCGGTATTAGTGATGGGTCGTTCTTGAACGATTCATTCATTTTGAACGAATCTTTAATGTGACTCAGGAAGAACGAGTTGTCTCGTGGGAGTGATTCGTTCAGTCGCGGATGCGCATTTGCGCAACTTCCTATAGTTTCTGTATTGGAATTATTGATTCACCTGTTTCCAGTCTTCGGGTTTGAATCGTTCGTTCATCACGTCACAGCTCCATAAGTTTAACCTATGCAGTCTGAGCCGGAAACAGAATTGATTAGTTCATCTCTCGAGTCTTCGGGTTTGAGTCGTTCGTTCATCACGTGACAGCCCCATAAGCTTAACCTATGCAGTCTGAGCTGGAAACAGTATTGATTAGTTAATCTCTAAGTCTTTCGAGTCGTTCGTTCTTTTGTCACGTGACCACTTACCGACTCAGTACCTCAGTCAAATACTAACGTAAAATTCCATTTGTTGTATGTTGGATCATATTTAGAAATTATCATAAAATTTTCAAAAATATCTAAAACGCATTTTCTTATAAATAAAAAAGGTCTGTCAATTTCTGTCACTATGATTTTGTTACCGTTTCTTGAGGATCTGTGGTGTGTTATTTTATAAATAAATAATCCTGTTACAAATAAATTATTGATTAATTTGTCCTTTCATTGTCTTTGTCTATCAGTAAACAAACACTAGGCTATATAATAAAATAATCCAAGCCTACAATTACAAAGTACTTATAGTTAATAATCGTACACTATTCTATAGCAGTGTTAATTTTTACTCTAATTTTGAGTTTCCTGGTATAATATTTGTTTTTTCCTATGCAGACTTAACATATTGATCTAATATTTGTATAAAAAGATTGGTCAAAAAGGACACAATGACAAAGTAAAAGCAAATAACATTTTGAATTTGAATGATTAAGGTTAGTTTAAAATATTAAGGTTATGATAACAAACTAAATAATAATAATAATAATAATAATAATAATAATAATAATAAGAAGAAGAAATAAACTATGCACCCGTTTGTAAGGAAGGTTGTAAATTAGTAACTAATTTCTATATCCAGTGCTGTCACGTCACATAACATAAGAATGAACGACTCGAAAGACTCGAGGAATGAACTAATCAATTCTCTTTCCGGCTCAGACTGCATAGGTTAAGCTTATGGGGCTGTCACGTGATGAACGAACGACTCAAACCCGAAGACTCGAGAGATGAACTAATCAATTCTGTTTCCAGCTCAGACTGCATAGGTTAAACTTATGGAGCTGTGACGTGATGAACGAACGATTCAAACCCGAAGACTGGAGAGATGAACTAATCAATTCTTTTTCCGGCTCAGACTGCATTGGTTAGCTAATTGGGCTGTCACGTGATGAACGAACGACTCAAACCCGAAAACTTGTCAAATAAGAGGCGAGGTGAGCGAATCATAGACTAAAGACCCAGGTAAACAATGAATTAATATTTTCTGTTTCTTACAGCAAATTTTTTCCATAGTTTTCCGTAGTTCCATAGTTTTGTCTTGTTTGTAGTGTGATCAACGTTTGTGTAAGCAGTAGATGTGTTAGAGAGGCAACAGGTAACATTTAAATTATATTTTGCTAAAATGAACGAAATGACTCGAAAAAATATTAGTTCATTTTGCTGAACGAGACTCAAAGGTCCGAGTCGGTAAAATGATCCGAACTTCCCATCACTACTCGGTGTGTGTGTGTTAACCAGCGTGAATGTGTTCAGCGGCTATTGAGAGGAGGGGAGGGGCTGCGCGAGTGCGCGTGCACCTGAGCTGTAGCGGTGCTGTGTGAAGTGTGGCGAATGAGGCGAAAACCGCACTGTTGGCATCAATAACGGTGAAAATGAGTATCTAATCAGATCCTAATTTTTAATATCGATTGCTATCTGAGAATCGATTTTTTGACAACCCCAGTGTCTCATTATTTTCAACTCCAGTGTCAGCTATATCTTCCGTTTCTGATCTTTCGCGATACATTATTAGCGGTGCAACAGTGAAAAAGGGCACCCCTTAAACAGTGTCCAGCCTTGCCACTTTCCGAACGTTGTGTAGGCTATTTAAACCGGGATTGCGGTATAAGAAAAATTCATAATAATAAAAAACGATTTTCAGTATGAACCGGTACACATTTAAAACACAAATATTAAAATTAATTTTAATAAAGTAAAACATTTATTAAAAGATCGAATTGAGACTGAAACAGCAGATATAAATATTGAATGGATCGGATCAGCACAACAAAAAAGTGGATCGTGAGATCACCAATTTTGAAGATCTGCTGTAAAGGCATTTTGTCATCAAAGTTCAGAAACCCCTGGTTCTCAGGCTGTCTCAACCGGGAATGTTTGTAACTCTTGGTCACCCCAAAGCAATAGAAGATAAGCCATTTTGTTAATTATTTGTTAGTTATTGGGGTGATTGATCACGATTAAAATGGGACACAGTCTTTTAATTATGACTCGCAACATGTTTATGATTTTATATTAAAACTGGCCAGCAGATTGATCTTTTGTTTTCCACAGAATAAAGAATGATGCAAAAAAAATGATCCTGCTAATGAGCACATATTGTGCGACTTCAATATTGGCCGTAGAGACTCCCCCAATGTTCAGCAAAGCGAGCACTTACCTCTCTTTTCAGTTTTGCTGGTCTGGGCGGAGCTCCAGGGGGTGGTGGGGGAGATGTCAGAAGAGCTGTCCAGTGATTGGTCCAATGGGGTGTTTGGAGGGGTGTCATAAATGTAGGACCCTGCCCCACCGATGTTGACACCTGACAAAAGGCAGGAGCTTAAAATCATACGTCACGTCCAACCCAAAGGAACCACAGCGCTACAAGAACCTCCTGGCAGCTTCATGCCCACAGATATGAGGCTTGGGCCACTTCCCTGATGCGTGTGCAGTAATGTTAAGCTGACAGCCTGGGTAGTTAAATCTGTTGTAAATACCAGTGTTTCTTAACCTGGTCTATGGGGATCCCCAGACGGTCCACGTTTTTGCCCCTACCATTTGGGAGGGAGCAAAAACATGGACTGTCTGAAATCCCTGAGAACCGGTTCGAAACACTCAGCAGCCCTGCTACAGTGGAGGACTTTGGAGAAGCACAAACTGATTTGCCAGAGAGGAAATTCCACAGTTAACAGGGTCATCCAAACTGGATGTCAGTGGGGCTGCTTTCACACAAATTAAATTAGATCTTCTCTAGAAACAGAACATTTGGGGTAATGTGTCACATGTTAAGCTTGGGCAGCTCGGCTCTATGGAATGACAGATTTTCCAGATGCGTTAAATGTGTCCTGTCCAACTGGAAAAGTACAGCAGGAAAAGCCCCACCTTTAGGCCCAAAGAGTGTCGCATAGCACGGTTTGTGACAGTAGGGGGTTCCGTTGTGCTGCAGGAAGGAAAAAAAACACATTACATGCATCACAAATCACAAGCACAAGCGTGCAGGTCAGAAATCATTACAGACAAACCTCATACCAGGGACGGAGTACACACTGCTATCCAAGTGACCTATTAATTAATGAGAATACATTCCTATTCTTGAGTGAGATATCATACAGTCTACTCATGATTCAGTTTGACAGACAAATCAGGGTTCACGGTTCGATACACTCACTATATTCAACAACATTATACTGAAAACAAACTAAGATCTCACAAGTCTGTACATGTACATTTACAAGAAAAAGCTATTGTCAAACCATTTTTTCTTGCAGTTTTTTCCCCTGTATTCTCCAGACTGTGCATTGTTACACCCCTACTCAAGAGGCAGATGTATGATCTTGTCAAAGGGGGTGATGAGATGTAGAGACTCAAATACTTCAGTTTAAAGACCACAAAGCTGCACATTATGAGAATCATTAAAAGACATAGCCAATCATCTCTAATTTCTTATCCTAATAAAGGCCATTTAATGATGCCTTTAAAATCCTCACACACAGACCAATAAACCCACGACACAAACACAATCCCAATGTGCTTTCACAATAATAAAAAAAAAATCCCTTCAGATTTCGACAACTTCCTCCTTTACAAAATATACCAAGTAACGGGAATCGGGGCTCCCAAATGACAAAAAGTGCTGTGCTAAACAAGCACAATGACCACTTCCTGTTTAAATGCACAAATATTTATCATCACTTCATAGCCTATTCAGCTCACAATGAACATTGGACCTGCCACTTCAACTGAATCTGACCATTTGGCTGAATTATTGCTATGAATATAAAACACAAACAGTCTGAAGATCTGTCCACAGCAAACAAAAACAATAACCGGAAATACAACCAGGGGGCCATTAATCATATGAAACCTCCTCATAGAGGCAGGAATGTCAACACTACTGATGGCTTAAACATCAGCAAATCAGCTTAAATGGTAAGCACTCAAGCTACAGGAAACGTGAATGTCCACGCTGCCCACATTCCAGGGAGCCTGAGCCATTAAACGTAACTGATAAACAGTCAGAAGCAAACCACAGCATTACACTCATACTCCTGTCAACCCAGGGGGTTATAGCATGTAGGACTGTATGATTCCAACTCAAGGCACCGAGCCTTCACCTAAGTCCACATGCAGATGTAGGACGACTCTCCAGTAAGACAATACTGATTGTTCTCATCCTATTCATGACAGTAACGGGCTATAGTAATAAAACAAATGGCAGCAAAACATGATATTAGGCAAAATGAACGCAATATATCAAACCCATGAGTAATTAGAGAAAAAAAATACAAGATAATTACAATGCATGTTATAATCAGTCACCATCCAGCAGTACAGTTTTGGTATAGTTTGATATGTGAATGGAAGTGCTCCTGTATCAATCAGGAAGAGATGTGTGAACACAGGTGTATTCCATTCCTGCGGGTGTTAAGTAGCGAGGCAGTGAATTTCACATGGGATTATGGGGGATCTCCCACAATGTGACATTCACACTCATCACTACAAGGAGCCCAGCCTATGGACTAGGTTGCAAACACTACTACTGGAAGGAAATTTTTTTGACAATGTCACAAATTGACTAATGATACCAACATGAATACTTTACATCCATGTCAACAATGAGATCGATTCCACCTGCGTTAATTACTTACTCAAGGAGTAAAGCGAGGGGGGGACACAAAAATACAGGCGTTTTCAGCATATTTAAGGAGGTTAAGTGAGACTGGTTACGTGAATTGATGTGGCCGCGGGGCAGTTAGTGGAAGAGCAGCCCCATAGCATCGGGGGAAACATGCTGAACATCACGAACACGCCTTACCTCGGCGTGTCCCCCAGCAGAGAGCGTCTTGTTACAGCGCTCACATTTCAGGCAGAATCGATGCCAGTTTTTCCCCAAAGAGCTCACTTTCTCAGCTAGGATGAAGGAAACAAGAACAACATGTGGATACCAGAGAAAAGGAGAAGCCACAGAAGTCACGCTGGATTTTCCCACGCTGCTGCCGGACTGCAAGCACAGCCTGGGGTGGGCAACTAGGCTAGAGGGTAAAACAACAAACGACCCCCGCCAGCTCCTGTCAGGTGCCATGGCTACAGCTCTTGTGAAAAGCCGCATTAACTAACATGTCAATAAATGGACCATAAAACATTACAACGTAACGTTAGGTTACGGTCTGCAAATTAACCAAAAACGCGTTTTTTTTAGCGGGAAACAGACAAAAACAACAAAAACAAATGGGGAAATGAAACACTTTGGTGTCGCCGTACTAATTCAGACTTAAAAAAAAAACTATATAAATGAATGGAATAAAACAACCAAACAGGTTTGAAATGACAAGAATGTTAACATACACTTTAGCACAAAGAAGGATGGTCAACACTAAACCAAGCATGAACACACAGGATGGTAACTATGAAATACCTAAATTTAAGAAATCATGGAGCAAGATCAACTAGCAAAAAAATTGGATAACGGAGAAAAAGCAGGACATCCCATTTCATCGTGTCCCAAAACCATTTAACGTTTAAATACAAGAAAATATCAACTAAATCACGCTGAGAAGAGTTATATGTGCATCCCAAATATATATTTTTAAAAAGGTATCTCACCAAAAAATACATCCTTTTCACATCTGGGACACTTCGAAGTCATTTTCGAACAGAGCCGCAAGCCGGCGTAGCTCCCAGCGACCCGCGGCGCGCTGGCGTTCAACTGTGAGAAAATATAGCCGTGTCCCCGCCCCAAAGAAACGCCGCGCTCCCATTGGCTGGTTCGAGGACGCCGCGTTACGTGTGGCGTGTTTCCCCCTGTCTGATTGGTGGAACACAAAACCGCAACGGCTGCCCCCCACTGATAAGTACGGTTTACGTCAAATTAAATAGTCTGTGGATGGTATATGTTGCCTATGTTTATACTTATACAGTGAGGTAAACATATTACACTATTACTACTGAAGTATTTCTTACACTGCAAGACTGTTCTGATCAGTAGCTATTACAGAATACAATGTTTAGGAAGAAATGTATACATATATCAGTTATTATTGAATTATTATTATTCGATACTACAAAAACACGAACAAAGAATTAATGCAATAGGACTTTTAACCATCCGAAATCGCAGTTTTTCTTCGGGCATTAAAGAGACTATCCCGCATCATGAAAGACTCCTTAATAACCACTTTTCTCGATCCTCCAGATGGTGTAGGACCTTATTTGGCTTATAGCACTCGGTGTTTAACAGTGGTGGGAAAAATATTTTCATTTTATTGAGTTTTTTCAGGTACGTCATTCAGTGAAATACTTATGCACTCATATAAACGTACCTGCCTTTAAAAGTACTTAAGTATCAAAAGTAAAAGGTACTGCACATTCAAATCTATTGATCTTACAAAAAGCAACATATCATTTTAAGTTCACCTAAAACAAGTCTGAATACAGCATTTGAAGGGTTCAAGGTTTTTGTCACGTGCAAGGTTATAGTCAGATATAGTCGTTTGCACTTTGTCATCATGTGACCCTCTGACTTTTGACCCTTTCCGCATTTATTTATTTTATAGGGGATTTACAGTTAGATTACAAAGTAACGAAGTACAATTCCGAATTATAATCCTTTAAAAAAAGTACTGTTGTTTTAAACGTATAATTTCAAGAAAATTAAAAAATATTTCAGCAATAAGAGTAAATTTATCCCGTTATTTTTCATCCCTGGTATTTAAGGACAGTTTAATTTCACAATACAACTGCTAAAAACGATCCTCCAACACTTTATTCCCCATGGCCTACCTGCATTTCTCGTACATGTACAGTATAGATGCTTGTCTGTGGTGGTAGTATTTCATACCTACTGTATGTCTTGCATTTACTTGACACTATGATCTGCAGGAAGCACACATAAGAATTTTTGTAGCATATAGAGACAAAAAAAACTGAACATTTTAATATATGCTATTCCGCTTCACATTTCTCCACTAAGAAAAAGGACATTCCACAGGTGAGTCCTACTGTATCCAGGCTCTATCATCTGATCTCAGATGGTATGGATGCTCACTGTACCACTGTTTGGGAAAATGGATTGCAGTCCGTTTTACACTGCAGATCAGTTTAACAAAATTAAATGTCCGAATGGATTGCGTAATCTAAATATACAATTCTAACTAAATTTGGTTATAAATAAAGTACTGAATCAGCAGTAAAGATGTCAGTACATTTCCAAACAGTAGGTAACAGTCACAGTAGTGGATGCTGTGAAATCAGTTCCCACCCTTCGCTCTCTGTCAGTTTACATGTTCATGTGCTCCATATCCAAAGACGTGTTGTTTAAGCGAAGTGGTGTCCTGCAGTGGCCTGACATTCTGCCTGGGGCATCTCCAGTCCTGTGCCCTATGCTTCCTGGGATTGGTTCTAGGCTCAGTCCAGCAATGAACTAGATAAGACTGACCTTTGTTGATCCTCTTGTAGAAGTCAAACAGCATCACAGAAATAAATAACTTGCAACACAATAGTCATCTCCCAAATAAAGTAGTGAGTGAATAACAAATAAATGCATAAAAAATAAGAATGTGTGTAATACAGTGATGCTGAAGTCTACCTTGTAAATGCAGAAGGTGTGTAGTTTAGTGCAGATGCAGCAATACAGTACAGTAAAGGGAGCTGGGTCAACATCCTCAAAGCTGGACGCTGTTCTTTATCCTCTTGGGGCAGTGTGTGGCTCTGTGGGCTAAGCCTCTGTGCCTGTGATCAGAAAGTCACTGGTCCATGCCTGGATTCAGCAGAATAATCATATGTCTGTAGGCCTTTGACCAAGGCCCCGTAACCCCCAGCTCCATGCATGTGTGTCATGGAGAGCAAGATGGGGTAGGTAAAAAGATCCCCACAGGGATCAATAACAGCATTATTATTATCTAAATTGTTCTCTGGGTAATAGAAATATCTTCCTGAGAAGCCATAAGGACCAATATGTCATTTTATTCTCCCATTCTATCAAAGGTCAGCAGTGAACAGATTAAATATTTAAGCAGTAATTTAACTTTGTGTGGTATAGGGTAGCACTGTTGGCTCGCACCTCTCGCATCACGTGCCCCCCCTGGAGACCAATGTAGGAAATCACATAATGTTCGATTGCTCTGTTTTCTACTCGTAAGACCTGCTTTTAGCGCGCATGCGCCATTTAATATGGCAGTTCAGGTAGAATTGTCATGTTTGGATACTTTTCCTCCTCATCTAAACCCTTTGCACCTTCTTGCGAGCAAGAGCCAGTTTTGCCGTCTGCTCCAGAGAAGCGATGAGTCCGCCTACGTGCTGGTGTTCTCACGAAAGCGGCAATCTCCGTCTAGTTCCGAAATGTTTTTCTGTGTACACTTAACGACGGAGGGAGAGGCGATGGGGTCCGAGGAGGCTGTCAGTTACGATGCTCCTTTAAAACTGTATACCAGCACTCTGTTTCATAGGCATTACGGTCTGCAGCATGGTGCAATGGGCAGCGTGCGTTTAATTTCGCCGATCGGGCTTGAAAAAATAGTGATCGGTGCTCGAAGCCGGCAGAGCTTCAAATGGGCGACGTCTGACAGCTTTTCTAACGGGCTGCTTGTGTTGGCGTCCTGTCAAAAGCATGCGATTGTGGCCAGACAGGGCGACGCTCTGCTGGTGCCCTACCACCCCCTATTCGGGGAGGACGTGGCTCAGGTGCATCAGCAGCTCTCCGACCTGTTTGTGCTGGAGTGCACGCCTGTCACCCAGGGGGTTGTAACTGTCAGCACCAGCGTAGTGGTGGCGGATTGCAGGGACTTGGTGCACAATCCGGAGCCTGTGCCCAGCGCCAGCACTGGCAGGGTTTTAAGCGCCCTTTTCGCCTCCGATTTCGCGCATTATGCCAGCAGTTTAGATGGCAGAAGCTCCCTTTTGCAAAAGAGCCAGCTTATGAACTCGGACTTTTCTGTGGTGTTGCAAGCGCTGGAGTGTCGCTTTGAAGTCAGGGTCGTCGACATCTTCAGCCTGAGAAAGCAAGGCAGGCTGCAAGCGGCGGAAGAGCAGCAGTCTGAGATTGACGTGGACGGTGCTATCTTTGTAGGCAAGAGCCTGCTACTTAAACTTGGGCTATTTAATCACGAGTGGGTGATTGGGTCCGCGTTAAGTCCTTCATGCGACAAAACGAAGCTAAGTCCAGGGAGAGTAGAGGAGAGACCCCCACGGAAGGATGCTGCCAGGAGCCGGGCCAGCGGGGGTCACCTCGCCTCTGTCGTAGCCGCTGACTTGGGGAAGTCCGCTGATTTGGACCTGCAGGAAAACGTGGCTTTCGTCTCTCCCGCGCTGTGGTTTAATCTGTCGGGTGGAGAGCCGGTGCCCGTCAGCAACAGGATGGTAAAGATAAAGGTGGGGCATACTTTAGAACACTGAAATATCATATTTAATCTATTAAGATTGAATATTGATCTGAAAAGTCCCCTATTTATTGTGTCATTTTTATTTGTTTTATAGCAGACCATCTTTATCAGATGTTTAAGATATATAGGCTATTGGTTCAATTTTTTTTGGGGGGGTGGCGTTTGCAGGGTCAGGGGAATTACAAAAGGCTTGTGGTCAGTGATTTCCGATACACCTTTATCAATGAAACAGTAAAAGTGTAATATAGCGTCAAATTAAACAGTCATATCTTTAATGTAGGCCTACGCAATGCAAAATTGACATTCACTTGTATGTAGTTTAATGTTTGCCGATGTAGGCCTATATGAACTGTCATTTTCTATTGTAAGTAAGAAGGTCATTGACAAATGAATGAACACAATCTTTGTGTTTAATCTGAGTTCTGCCTCCTGGTGTTAATGGTACATTCAGAGGCAGCAGCTCAAAGGAGGTCTCCAGTCATGGGTGTAAATTACGACGGCGGTGGCCCCACAGTAATCCAATAATCAAAACCGACTAACACATCCCCCCCAATAATCATATCTCCCCCTAAATGGGTAAAAACTTCAACCTCCCCCCCCATGTTCAAACCAAAGTTACACCCTTGTTTCCAGCAGCATGTTTTTTGCAGGAATAATTATAATATGTTGTGTTTTAGGTCTCCGTCAATATACTTAGGGCCTGTAGTTTTGAAACTTTCCGAATTAAGAGGATTCAAAGATCCAGCAAAACATGAGAGCACAGAGATATGCTGAGGTGTTGTTTTAGGCTGACTGCCTCAGATCATTTTTGTCCCTGGTTGCCTTTCAGCGGTGCAGCGAGCCGGCACCGGAGGTGGGGGCGCGGCTTTCGGAGAGCCGCTCCCGCAGCGCCTGTCCGCCTTACGCAAAGGAGCTTCACATTCAGCTGGTCGTTTCTCCCCAGTACGACTGCAACGGGCTTTTCGACGGCATCCTCGCTGAGCATTTCAGCACGCCCAGGTCGGTGTTTTGGCGTCATATTGCCGGAAAGCGGACTGTCAGTCTGCATCTTCTCACAGTCAGTCCTACTCCGTAAAGCGGATCCTCATCCCGCTCCTGCCACCCTGCCTTTCCGCTCCAGGCTGGTGCAGGACGGTGATCTGTTGTGCGTCCCCAGCGAAGGCCGAGCGGAGCTCCTGGAGACCAGCTCTGAGGGCTTCATGGGGTAATTCTCAATGAGAGCTTCACCTTAGCTCCAAGTGCACCAAACCTCAGGCCATAACTGGGTGTTTTTAGCATACTATTTGAATGCAAAGTTGACTATATTCCCTGGCATTCAGTTTTCTATTCTGATCTTATATGATCTGCTTATATATGGTAAATAAGGCGAGTTCTGTCAGGTGCAAGTGAGTATTTTGTTGGTCTACGGAATTATTATTTTGTTGATAATTTATTTTTTGCAGTTGGCCAATGCTGTACTTTAGGGTGAAGAAAGTGTGCAGCAGCGGGGAGATGGGAGACAGGAGCCCGGCTGCGTATTTAGCGGATACGGTGAACACGTCTCTCTACATGGTAAACTTGAGTGCTCATTAATGCCCTGGTAACCAGGTGCACTGTCCTGGCGTTACTCCGTAATTAAGCTCCCCTCTAATGAGCTACACTGCCAGGGCTTATTTCCCTAAACGGGTTAAAAGTCTCTTCTGGGTTTCCAGTTGTAGTAGGTGTCCGAGGTGTTTACCGTGGCACTGGATTCTTATGGATTCACTGGGGCTGAAGAATCGCCGTTTTACTTGTTTAAGGGCGGCGCCGTCAACAGCCTGGTCCCTTGTTCGTCGCTGGGTGATGCTCCTTCCTACTGGTCGAGCCTCTCTCCCCCTGGCCTCTCCAAGGCTGTGGATCAGCTGACCACCATTATGCAGCCTTACCTCTATGACAGGTTAGTGTTCTGCTTAGAAAAGTGTTTCCCAACCTTTTTTCTGCCACGACACACTTTTCACAAGGTGATTATTTTAACAAGGCACACCAATGCTTAAGACATACTGCTAACTGGATCTTACCTTCAGTGTGAAACTTCCAGTTCAGGATCAAGTACATTTTCTGAAATTTCCCTTTTCAAAACTTTGTCCATGATATTGTCTTTATGTTACAGGGCAGTTTGCAAATTGTCAAACAAAAGTACGAGAACAGGCGCCTATTGTTATGTGGTGTTATTCTCGGCAGCAATTCATTACGTGACAAGTGGGCTTAACACCTGTTCTCCATATTCCTGTGGGTTTCCACCATTCTGGCTTCCGCCCTCAGTCCCAGGACATGTGGTTCAGGTGCTGTGGTTGATCTCAGTTGCCTTTCATCCTGTACTGAGAGTGAGTCAGTGTATAAATGGTCTGTAATGGAACTGAGTGTTGCCCAAACTGCCAGACTGGGGTCGTCTGTAGCTTAATGCATCAGTGATTTGTGCCCATTTCTAGAAGATTGTGGGTTCAAATCCCATGTCTGGAAGGCCGTGGGTTCAAATCCCATGTCTGGCTGAGTAATCATATCACTGTTGGGCCCTTGAGTAAGGCCCTTACCTCATTTTCTCCAGGGACACTGCCTGACCCTGCTTTCTCATCTACATTTGCATGGCACTTTGAACAGTAGCATCTGCTAAGTTAGTATGAGTGGTAATTAGAAATAGGTAGATGGATGGATATGTGGGAGAGTAAACCAGTTTATTGTGAGTTTTAAGCCTGGCTGCTTGTTTTCTTTTTTCGCCTGTTTACACATGTGATGTGACTTTCTTTGGCCCACAGTTCTGCAGCACTGGGCACTTGCACCGTCCTGCTGTCGGGACCGGGGGCGTGCGGCAAAGTGACAGCTGCCAGAGCTGCCTGCCGCAGGTTAAACCTGCATTTCCTAAAGGTACCATTAAGTTCGGGGGGCGCTGCTTTGGTGTCTTACACTCCACCTTAGCAGGCGGTGTGGAAAGAAGGGGACTGACAATCATATCAGTCATTAAAAGGTCTACTCATCCACCTTATCTACTATAAACTTCTCTTCTCAACTTATTTAAACATTTATATTTAATTACTTGAGTTATTTTAAGCTAATGCCTTATGGTTCTACAGCAGGTCATTCCTAATATCGCCACCCGCAGCCCTTTGCGTCAGACATATTTGAGTCAGGCCTCTTATTAAGTGTCTCCTTGCTCTCTCCGGGCAGGTTGACTGCGTGCAGCTCTGCGCAGACACGGCCTCGGCCTGCGAAGCAAAGTTGCGCTCGGCCTTCGGTAGGGCGGGCAGACACTGGCCTTGTGTGCTACTGCTGAGGAATGTGCATCTGCTGGGCCGGCAGCACGACGGGCCTGACGACGACACCAGGGTCCTGGGCGCCCTGGCGCGGCTCGTATCCGGCTGCCCGGCCAGGTGGGTGGGGGGTCAGGGGCCAAGGGTCCGCAGTCCCTGCAGCCCTGCGCTCAGCCTCCTCCTAAGGCACTGGTCAGCCGGTCTCTGTACCAAAATAGCTTTTGTAATATGTGAAGTGTGTTGTTTGGTTTATATATAACCACTGCTGTGGTTCTGTAAATGATCTGTGTGGATGCACTTACAAAGCAATGGAAGAAAACGTGCCTTTTTACAATACTGATACTTTATTGGTCCCCATGGGGAAATTCTCTTCTTGCCTACCTCCACTTGCTTGCCATGACATACAGACACATGTAGATGAGAGAGAGCTTGACAGTGAAGGGCAGCCACCTGTAGTGGTGCCCGTGGTGAAGGGCCTTGCTCAAGGGCCCACAGACCTGGCTATTCTGCTGGGCTTGAACCAGCGACCTTCCGATCACAAGCACAGAGACTGAGCCCAGTGAGCCACATGCTTCCCCCAGTTATGGGTCTGTTTCTCACACAAGACCTGAAAACAGAGCAGACCCTCAGGCCAAACCACCAGGTTCTGATTGATATAAGAGTACAACACGGTGTTTTGGGAGCTCGTCATGTCCTCCTGCCATTTATGTCCTTTACAGAGGGCTCAACAATAATTGTTCAGCTATAGTTGTTTGATGGTGAATAATTGTATGTAGTACATCGCCTCTGAGGCCGAGCATCATTCTGTGACTTCACTGGTTTTGTTTTGGGCTCAGATTGCATGTATAGGCAGTATCTTTCTTTCTCTGCCTCAGCATTGCGGTCATCGCCACGGTGCCCAGCCCCCCAGAGCTGTCCCCGGATGTGACGGCGGTGTTTGTCCACCAGGTGGAGGTGGAGAGTCCCACCGAGGAGCAGAGGCGGGCCATGCTGGTCAGCCTGAGCGTGGGAATGCCACTGGGAAAGGATGTCAACCTGGGGAGGACGGCCAGGCAGACAGCGGTGAGGCCTGGGCCCCCCCTTAGAGCTCAGGGACGCCCGATACTCTGATAGCACTCTGAGGATGACATGAGTGTCTTTCTGGTGATCAGCACCTCAGGGCAGAAACGTCTACAGCATATAGGAAGCAGCATCACTACAGTTACATGGTCCTTATAAAGGGTACGCGGTGCAGCCCCAGCCTCCGTAACCCCCCCTCCCCCCCCCCCAGGGGTTCCTGCTGGGTGACCTCAATGCGTTACTGACACAGGCTGGGAAGGCCGCACACAGAAGGCTGCTGAAAACCTGGTGAGATCTCGTGCTGTCATACATACATATAGTGTGGAGGGACGCAATAGTTTTTTGACAGTTCACATGGTGTTTTGGCATGCAACAAAAATGACCTTTGACCTTTTTGTAAAGCAGAACCAGAGGTGGAAGTTTCAGGTCCAAAAAGTAAAAATCCAGACTAAGATTTGAGTTGAGTGGTCACCAGTTGAGTATAAATAGTCACAGTCACAGAGTACTCAACAGGTTGATTTAAATAGAATCTTGATTAGGACTTTTTCTTTCTGGACCTGAAATTTCCACCTCTGAGCTGAACCCTTCATGTGATTAGGTTTGGGTTGGACTAAACCAGGACATCTTCATCACATAATTCACACTGGCTATGAGTGTAATTACATCACGGGGGGATTTAGCAGGATTCGACACCTAGCGGAACTGTGATCTGACATCATGGAGGCTTGGGCAGATCCACCAAGCTCATGTTCTGAGATCGCTCTCCCTCTCCCTGGGTACCTCTGTGTCCTGCAGTTTTCCAGAGGGCATCACACCTCAGGCTGAGCTGGACCTCTGCTCCTCAGGCGTGTCCGTGCTGAACGTCGACCTCACCGCCGCTCTCGAGCACCTGCAGGAGGCCCACTCGCAGGCCGTCGGCGCTCCCAAGGTGCTTGCTCGTCCTCTGCTTGCGGCCTGCAAGTATTTGCGCACCCAACCTGGGTCCTGGGGCTTTCTGCGGGTTGTGTCTTCCTTGCATCTGCTGGGGGCAGAGAGAGAACCTAGACCTTCGAGGGAAGGATGGACCTCCCCCTGGCACAGTGTTCATAGCTTCAGACCGTACATAGAAGGTGGTCAGTGCAGGAGCATCCTCATGCTTCCTGAATGTAGCCTCCCGGGTTTTCAGCAGTTTGCGAACTTCTGCTGTTGTTGTTAATCCGCGTCTCCCATTGTGTGGTCCTCTGTAGTCTTATAAATTCCAGTTTGTTGTACAGGGAGCAAACATCTGCCAGTTGGACGGATGGTACAGCAGTTCTGGTTAGGTTAGCCGTTAGCCTGGCTCGGATGCTGCCCCACTTGCCACGCTTCTGGTTTTTCTCACACCACCCGTACCATCTCCACACCCAGATACTCTAATCAGGCATGTCAGGCTTCAGCAGTTAGCCCACGTAGCAGGCCCAGGTCATCGGTGAGTCATACATTGTTCCAAACACACATTTGTTGGTACGATACCAACAACAAGTGAAGGTGTCGGTCACAATTTCGTAAATGGACGCCGTTGCAGCTCCCCTCGCTGAAGTGACTGGTATTTACCCACGCTGCCGTCCACGTTTATTGACGAAGGAGGCATTTCCTGTCACAAGTCCCCTCCCTGAAATGGCCAGGCTTTTCCCACGCTGCCGTCCACGTCGGTCAGTATTTCAGGGGTGTTTTCTATCGCAGGTTCCCTCGGTCAAGTGGCAGGATGTGGGTGGTCTGCAGCACGTGAAGAAGGAGATCCTAGATACCATCCAGCTGCCCTTGGAGCACCCGGAGCTGGTATCGCTGGGACTGCGGCGGTCCGGGCTGCTTCTTTATGGACCCCCTGGAACGGGCAAGACTCTGCTGGCCAAGGCTGTGGCCACTGAGTGCTCCATGACCTTCCTCAGGTCTGTGGCACCGTCGCCCCAGGCTGTCACCCTTCCACAAAGCGTCCCCTTTTAATAAAACGCCGGAGTGTGCAAAAATCTTTTTGTATTTGTTAAATATGTTTTTATTCGTTAAAACTTTAGTATTTTTTGTTTAAATCAGTTTCTATTAACTGAATATTTTTGTATTTTCTAAATCTGTATGTTTTCCATTTGTTAAATTGGTTTGCCTTGTATGTGTTTTTAATGCAAATAATGAAGTGACATCTTGGTTTAGCGTCAAAGGACCGGAGCTGCTGAACATGTACGTTGGACAAAGTGAGGAAAATGTTCGAGAAGGTGGGCTTTCCACGGTTTTTATTCATTGTGAAATCACATGGGCCGGGCAGTGGCTCCGTGGGTGTGACTTTCAGTTTACCGCTGGGGGCTTTGATTTGTCCTGATCCATGGGTGCAGTTTACATGTTCTCACTGTTTTTGCATGGATTTTCTTGCTGGTATTTTGGTTTCCAATGCAGTCCAATGACCTGGTTTGGGATTGGTGTCTTGTGGTTGGTTTGTTTGCTTGTTGTCCCCGTTTTCCTGTATCTGTCTGCACCCAGCCCTCTTCCCTCTGCTTCCCAGGATCATCTCTATGCTTATTGTGTCCCTGCACTGATTAAGTGGTTGTGGAAATTAAAAAGATATGTATAATAATATAGACTTTAATGTGCATGTTTTATTTTCCTTTTCAGTATTTTCCAAAGCAAAGGCTGCCTCCCCCTGTATAATCTTCTTTGATGAGCTGGACTCCCTCGCTCCCAACAGGGGGCGTAGTGGGGACTCTGGAGGCGTGATGGACCGGTGAGTCTGTTCCCTACTCATCATCTTCTCCTTAACCTCCTTGCAAGATGCTTTTAAGAAAAATTGAGTAATACAGTAGTCTGTAAAATTGAACATATTAATTTAACTGAAGCGTTTCAGGTTAAATATGTTCAAGGGTACAAGAGTAGTGCCCATTACTGGGATGTCCAGCATCCAGTCACAGATCCATTGTATGTGCCTCCTGGCCTGACCAGGGAACATCTTCCTTTTGGGTCGCAGGGTGGTCTCCCAGCTGCTGGCTGAGCTAGACGGGCTGGATTCCTCCGGGGACGTGTTTGTGATTGGTGCCACTAACCGGCCTGACTTACTGGACCAGTCGCTGCTGAGACCTGGCAGGTCAGGACCGCCTGTGGTGGACGATGATTTTTAAAATGAGGGAAGCATAGCGTGAGCGGTTGTCAGTATGACCAAAAAAAGTCTTTCTTGTGTTGACGTTTGTGTTTGCAAATGCCAAAAGCGTAAGATGACATATGAAACAATTATCTGTCACTCCGGGTTTCAACTAAATGCTTCTGCACACCTGTATGCAAATGAATGAAGGAACAGTGCGAGCCGGCACTGCTGACACCATGTGAAAGTCGTGAGCATTCATGCTACAGGTAGGTGATCCTGTCTTGTGCAGAGAAACCTGGCTTCCTGGTGGGTCTAAAATATCTGAATGCAAGTATATCTATCCAGTAGGGGTGGAGCCGAACCCGAATACGGTATTCGGAAAGGCACAAATAATGTGTTTTTTACGAATACTTATTTCGAACAAATACTTAAAAAAATATTTGTATTCGGGAACAAGAAAAACTTTATATCAAAAAGCTGCGTTTCCTCTTGAGACCGCAGTGCATGCCCGGAAGAGTGAGTGAGTGAGTTCAGGAGTCGGGGGGGGAGTAAAAGAGGTGACTGACACAGGCTGCTCCACACAGTAACAGAGAAGGCTCGGCTCAGCGAAAAAAGACTTAACTGTATCACTATTTTTGTTGAATAGATTTTTGTACCTTAACTGGGTTCCGGAGGCAGTTTATAACTTTCGGGAAGCGGAGTTTGATCGGGAGATTATTCCATTACGCTGCATTATTGACGTCTGCAATCAGGTGCTCTCATGTTCGCTCTGTTTACGTAGCTCTGTTAGCTCGGTAATTTAGACAATAGGCTGTTGACAGAGTAACGTTAACGTTTGGTTAAAAAGGTTAAAACAATGCTTGTGTAGTTGTGTCGAATTGTATGCACTTGTAGGAGTTATATGGTACGTTTAAGTTACTCTGTCTACTGCATATCCATAATTATTATAATGGATATAATTAAAGAATACTTACACTATAGCGTAAATTAGAAGTGCAACGCAAAAAAACTGGATTTTTACGCCTATTTTGAATTTTACTCGAATACGAATACAAATACAAATACTTTTCCCCCCTCAACAAATACAAATACCGGCTGCTTTGCACACCCCTACTATCCAGTTAGGCTAAGCAAAAACAGACTCTCAGTGAAGCCCGACGTCCAGGAGGACTCCAAAAACACATCACTGGAGCGTATTCACCAATGAGCCTCTGTCTATTCTCCATTTAGACAATGTATACAAGAATCTTCCATAAACTTCCATTGAAGCTTGTTGTTAATCACCATCTATGGACTGTATTTATCCTGATTTAAAGGGAAAATTAACCTATATGTTGTTGAAATACCCGTGAGAATGATCAATGCTGTCGTTCAATTAGTTAGATTACACTTTGAATTGCAAATAGAATGAATTTACATTGATATTGTACATTGACTAATTGAAATCTTTTGGCATTTGTATGTGGGAAGCTCTGTTTCTTATGTAAACTTAGAGCAGTCCCTTGTGAGGACCACCTGTGAAAGTGAGGCTGAATCGTGACAGTGACTGTGACAGTGTGAGATCTAACCCTTCCTGTCTGTTAATAAACCCTTTAGATGTGAATTCAGTGCTTTTACCTATTTTTCAGATGCGCAGTGGTTTCCTATGACGACTGTTCTCCTTGATGTAGAAAGTAATTATGTCACATTTGCAATAACAGGAAACATATTCCCTAGCAGCTCTATGCTCTGTGCCAGGGCTCTCGAAATGAGGGTTCCCTCCTAGAAGGTAACAAGTGTCCTTGAGGTGTTGAGTCTCAGACGATGGGTTTTTCTGGTCCTCAGGTTCGATAAGCTGGTCTATGTTGGGATTAATGAAGACCGGCAGTCCCAGCTGCAGGTCCTGCAGGCCATCGCCAGAGAGTGAGTGTTTTTACGCTCGAGATTCCTCCTTCCTGCCATACTGTAACACGCTTAGGTATCCTTACTGTTTACATCAATGGGGAATAGGGTAGGGGGTGGGGGGGGGGGGGGGGGTAGTAAGTGGCCATTTACAGAATCACAGAAAACAATCTGGAGTTTGTTCAGGAGTTGTATTTCTCGCCTTTATATCCCGGGGACTTCAACAGATGAACATACATGTCACATGATCAAAGCCTTGCTGATTAGACAACCTTCCCTCCATAACACATGGCTGTAGGCCTCCACATTGTCTGTGCGGTCTTTCGATAAATAGCTTTCATTTATAACCACCTAGATGTATTCTTACTTCCCATATCGAGGGTGCAAGGGCTTCTCCTCCAAGTACAGCGTCGATGATGTCATTAACACGCTTAACAGTGTTAAGTCTCCTCATATCAAACTGCACACAAAAGTAAACTTCCACACTTTATTGCTAATTAAATAAAATGTTTAAATATGTAAGATACAGGGTGGATCTTTAAGTGCCTTTTAGTGGACCCCCATATTACAGTACAGTGTGCTTTTTGTCTGTGTTTACAGGTCATTCCTTCTCTGTTCCCGATACAGTTAGATAAGTTCACTGTTATTTATTCCCGGGGGAATCCCTTGTACCATGAGCACAGCACATTTCTATAATCCGTCCCCCTCATTTGTCATTGATCAGCTGCTTCTCTCAGTGCAGTTTCATTGCTTTTCATTTCTGCTTCTTTGCACAAACGGTCAGGTTTTCCATCACTTCACTGAAAGAGGGTGGTGTCTTCTCCCCTCTGGTGGCTGACTCAGGCCTACACACCCTCCTCAAAGCTGTGTGTCCCCGTCGGCTCCGCAGGTTTAAAATGGAGCCTTGTGTCAGCCTCGTGGACATCGTGGAGCGCTGCCCCCCCCAGCTGACCGGCGCTGACATGTACGCGCTCTGCTCGGACGCCATGACGTTGGCTATCAAGAGGAAGATCAACTGCATCCAGGAAGGTGAATGTCCCTCTTGAATGCTGCCGCCCAAGGAGCGCCCAGATTACGTACTCACTTGTTAGCTACAAACGCTCTTCACTCAGAGTCTTGGCATTGATGATACAGTATGATTTTAACACGTCAAAGTTAAAAATGTAAAAACGCAGTCGTTAGTAATGCTTTTGCTCAAAGTTAGACACCAAATCCCACCTTTAAAATTAAAATGTCATTCCAAATATCGACACACTGAACTTTGAAACCACACAGCGTTTTCAAACCAGAATCTTTTTGTTGCCGTTGACAAAGAGGCCCTAGATGTTTGATTTGAAACACTTAAGCCAGTGGGAATTCATAAAATCCAGTGTTAAACATGGAAGGAAACCCAAAGTTTCGCAATTACTTGTACTATATACTATATATATAACATATATATATGAAATAAATTAACATATTTTTAAACAAAGCAAAAAGTTTAATTAGGAGGCAAATAAATTACAAATAAATGATACAAAGTCAAAACTGTTTTGGGAGGTGGTGGTAAATAAAACACACCATTAAATGTGTGACACTGCCTTGATTTTTTTTCCCCCCATATCAGTTTTTATTGTTAAGTTGTGCTGCAGTTAACCTTCCCGTTAGCACTCAGGTCATCCGCTCACACCAAGTATCCCAGGGTGCTGTTCAGTCTCCGCCCAGCCTGTCATTGTGGGAGGGGCCTTGGCGCCCCTTTCTAAAAAGCTCGTTTTTTAAACATCACAGCGTGGTCTCTGCCATTGCTGAAGGAACTCCATCAGCTCGCTGGCTCCTCATTGCCCAAGATTTAGCTCAGTATAATGTTCATCTAGCTGCATTCATCTCAGATTATAGAGGAACGGTCCATGTAATCTGTCTCTGCAATGATCTAAAGACCATGTTGGGAATCCACAGGAATCGCACTGTAGCTGTGGTTCCGATTTGGACGTCCCTTTGCCACAGGCCAGGATGGTAATCCGAGGTCTTCTGAGGCCTGTGTAATTAATATCCTGTCTATGCCTTTGTTAGGGAATGGCCAATGAAAGGCAGTGTGTGCTCATCGTAACAGGAGGGGTGTGTATCTTTACAGACACCCTCTGGGTCATTTGGACCAGTGTTTCTCATCCGAGTCCCTGTGGACCCCCAGACCCCTCCCAACAAAAATGCAGGCTGTCTGCAGGCCTGAGGACACGCTTCGAGAAATACTGATTTAGGAAAGTGTCTGTAATTATGTGTAGCTGTGTGTAACAGCACTGCCAGGCAAACAGCACCTACCCCCTCCATCTCACCCCACCCTTGGTGTCTTATCTCTCTGTCTCCTCTCAGGTCTGGACACAGAGAGCTCACAGCTTGTCCTCTCATCTGAGGACTTCTGGCAGGCCCTGGAGAAACTCCGGCCTTCCGTGTCGGACCAGGAGCTGCTCAAATACAAGTTGATCCAGCAGAAATTTGCTGCCAAGTGACACGGTCACACCAGGGGGCGTCTTAGCGTGTCTTTGGAAAATGGTGTTCCACTGGTGTCCCTGTGAGCAAACTCCACCAGGCTGCAGTGTCGATACAGGGCTGTTGCCCCCCCCCCCCCCCCCCCCCCAGGAAGCTGCCCTGGTTTTCCTCTCCCTCTTCAGAAGTCTGAAGGCCGCTTGGGGCCCACAGAATGAACCAGAATGTCAACAAACCAGATTTCATCCCACACAAAGCAAGCAAGGAGCGTGATTCTGCACCCAATGGGTAAAAAAAAGTGCACCGTCAACAGGACTGAAAGCTTGTAAGGGGCTGTTTTCATCTGCTGTGGTTTTTCATGTTCCCCGACCAAAGATTGAGCTTAAAATAGTAATGGAGCAGAGAGAAAATAGCAGGAGAGCATTTTCATCAGAAACACTAACAGAAGCCTCAATACCTTCACTCAAAAATGTACGTGTGACCTTCCTAGAGTCGTTTTCATTCTCAAAATAAGCATCTTTTTGGCATAACGGGGGTCGTCCATGAATAGATGCTGCTTACAGAAACGCCCACAAAACTAAAATTACGGAGTTCTTTTTGTGATGGCTGCCAGTGCCTTGTTAAAACAACAACAGAGTTTTCATTTCTTTTTTCTTCCAGATCTTTCTTATGTCAGGGCCACTGAGTTCGAAGCACCATTGGGACAAAAGATTAAACAGTAACTAGGAGGTTTTGCTGTAATGTCCTCTTAACATTTGAAAGTAGCCAGTTTTCTGTTTATTACACCTAATGTTCTTAACTGACCAAAGACTTCAATCTTATTTCTGAATCATCCTGTGTGCATATGTATCAGTGTTTTTTAATTCTTGTAATAAGTAATAAAAAAAATTTCAATTTCCATTTTGGAGTATTAAGCTGGGGTAGCAAAATCACTGTGCTAAAACCAAAAGTAATCAGTCAAGTACAAAACCTCGTACAGCCCCTGTAGAAATGTCTGATTGGCTGATTTTTATCCAGGTACTCTGAAATTCCACGCTCCTTCTCTCCTTCACTGCCTGCAAAATGCAGTCTAATATCCTGTGTAGTTTCACGGCAGCATTTTTCTTGAAGGCATTTCTGTACAGTACACAATATGCAGCACAATTACAAAGAACCAAACCAGAGATGTTCTTTTCCTAATCAAAGGTTTTCAAAAGAGCCTTGGAGACCCTCAGCCAGTTCACATTTTTGTTCCCTCCCAGTTCCCCGAGGACTGGGCTAAGGAAAACTCTCTGAAGGCAACACTCAATGTAATATAATCAGGCATTATAAATATATATTTAAGAAATACTGTACAAATTCCTTTTTGTGAATTACCAGTCAGTCTCACTCTTGGTGTTTTGACTTCCTAATAATCCCTTGTGGATTTCGTGCTGTAGTTCCAGGTTCTGAAGATTGAGGGCACTGTTCTTCCTTAGAGAGTCCAGCTTCCGATTCTGTTCAGTTACTAGGTGAAATAGTGCATCCGACTAGCAGCTCTGAAAAGCAAGAGCAGATGCCTCAGTTCTCTTCCTATATAATGTTTCAGGGCCTTGACAGGTATTTCCAGGGTGCCTGCGGTCATGGAAAACCTGGAAAAGTTTTGGAATTTTGAAATAATTTTTCCAGGCCCTGTATACAGTAAGTTTTGGAATTCTTGGATGGAGAGGAAAAGCTTTGGAAACTAGCCTTGTTCATTTTTGTTTCCCGCTTCGTTCTGACGAAATGTATGAGTGGAAGTCAGTAGTTACCTACCTTCGTAAACATCCATTTCCCCGTAGATTTGGCGTATTTGAGATCGCTGCATTTTTCTCGCTATTCGGGTTTTTATGGTTTTATTTATTTATTTTTTTGCACATATTTGAATTTTATTGTTCACAGTTTCCTGTTTTTGACTCCGTCTGCCTCTACCAATCATAAGGTATGTATAATTATTTTAATATTGGGATGAATTTTCTTAATAATTGAACACTGTTTGCACATTGGCAAAAGTTGTCAAAAGTTGTTAGAAGAAATTCTTATGGTACTGCAAAAGTTTTGGAAAAGTCATGGAAATGTATTCTGCCAGAATTGGGGGAACCCTGTATCTCTAAAGGCAGTGTCACTCAACCCAGTCCTTGGAGACCCTCAGCCAGTTCACATTTTTGTTCCCTCCCAGTTCCCCGAGGACTGGGCTAAGGAAAACTCTCTGAAGGCAATGACAGCTGGAGAGGAGAACCCCTTTAAATACTTCCTTCTCTCTGACTTCACCTTAAATCTCTCAGAGCTTTAAAAGTGAGGCACTTGTAGGTTTTTACCTTTTGTAAAATGATTTGTACATAGTAACTTATATAATTCCTTGGTAAGACCCCACCTAGAATACTGTGTGCAGGTTTGGTCACCAT